CCGCAGTTAAAAAAGCAGCACTATATAAATAAGCAAATATTAATACAAAGGTCTGACGACCCAAGGGAAAAAACAACGATAAAACACCAATAGGAAAGATGAAGCGATCTGGTTGAGCCTATAGATTCTTTCTACTCCTACTGTATTTCAGTTTCACCACTTTGTCTTCAACCACTAATAATCTTCTTTCACCTCATAACCCTTGACTCCGCCGCCGCCATCATACTATGAAATCAGCGGCCAAGAACAATGAAATGGAAATCGACTTCCCCACAACTGCCCCAGTGCCTGAAGAAGCAGCAGATATAGGACTAGGTTTTATCAAACCTAAAGAATATCATAACCACCACACAGAAAACCAACTGGAAAATTTATTGAAGACTTTGTAACTTTATCAACGAAATAGTATGGCAATACACAGACGAACGGTATGACAAAGAAACGATTATGGAACATGATTAAAAAGACATAATAAAATACGGTACAAAAGATTTTATTTGTAATCACGGCAGCTGAACTGAAAAGAAATCATCTGGACTCAGCAAAATGAGATCACCCCTCAACTTCAACCTTCAAAAGAAAATGAAATAATGGACCATCTCCAACTGAAAACACTTAAAATTCTACAACACAATGTCCGTGATTGGCATACATGTAAAACATCACTTTGTAACATATATAATGAAAACAACCCAATATAATACTAATAGTGCATATAGCAAACCCGAGAACACCAAAATCAAAATATTTATCTCACGACACCAATCAGAACAAAAGTGGAGAAAAACATGACGAGTTGCCGTAGCGGTGAAAAAGGTATCAAACACATACTAATAGACAACTTTAACAGCAAATTCCTTGCCATTAAAGAACAGACAACACAGGGCGAAATAATAATTGCAACACCATCCCTCCTATTGAAGACCTACTGAAACTAACAAATTATAATATCCCAATGTATATCCTGGGAGGTTTTAGTAAGACACCGCATTTTTTAGAAACTGCAACAATAACCAGATAGGCACAGCATTGGAACTTATAATCAACACTGGCAGACTACTTCACCTGGGCCAGCACTTCACCACCTGGATGGGACCAAGCGGCGTTTCAACACCCGACAAAATCTTCTGCAACAACAGGGCATCTCTTAACTACCACATAGAGCAAAGGCCCATCACCCCAAGCGACCACATTCCGATAATATTCACAATTTCCACCAGTCAATTCAAACAAAAATACCACCAAGGCTCCAGATGAGCAAAACAGACTGGATGAAATATAAGGATTTATTGGAAAACTACCCTAAATAAATCTAAAAGATGCAACACTGTGTAGTATCTTGCGTTATTTAATGGGAGAATGACAAACACATGTTCGGTCTGGCTGGGCGTTTATTCTCTGTTCTTGGTTACAACGTGTCTAACACATTTCGTGTTTACACAAGCCTAAACACTTTCTGACTTTGGTAAGTAACAAAATATATAATATATATATTTCAATAAAGGCAGCATATAAACATACATATATATAACATTATTTCTCCTTTCAAGAGGCATGCTGCTACAAATCTAAATAAACAAAACTTACAGAATTACCTATTGGCAGGGAAGAAGGGAATAGAACACAACAAATATAACTTCTAACTAAACAGTTTTTGAAAGACCTGTTCTCAATTCAGATAATTAGAGGTCTAATTTAATTACAGGTCTCGAACTCTGTTTGATCTTCTAGGACTATTCCTCCATCAAGTTTTACAGGGGTTTCACTGCACTCTGTGCATTATCAGTGACAGACATATCATCACTACAATCAGTTGACACAGTGAGTGGATGCTGGGAAACATCATCTTTGATAATCATGATGATGATCATCTGAAACTGTGTCAAGTTTATCATGTCCTGATTGCTACATTCATCTCATGTGCCTGAATGATGTGATCCACATAAACATATCTCAAAGAGTTACCACATTTCACTAAATATGTCCTAGATCACATACCTTGTCAATGACACCAGTTATCCACTTTGCATGTACAGTACCATAGCCTTTAGTCATATTCCTAAATCTCACCCTATCATTTACCTTGAACACTTGTAGTGAACTTCTCTACAACTCGTAGCACTCTTGGAACATGCTAAACAGACTAGATAGATTTCCTGGTTATGCAACAAACTCAACCCAAGAACCTTTTTGACCTTAAGAAAGGGTAGAGGAACCCCAAGCTTAGCAAGCGTAATAATAACAGAAATGGCCAAGAAAAACAGCAAGGGAAACCAAGTAAACATGATCTTATAATTAACATGTCATTTTGACAAAGTGTGCAACGGACTAATATAAAATACTAAACTAGACTTATACCTGCAGAAATAAGAAAAAAGATCCTGTGTAACAACTTTCAAAACAGGACAGCACAGCTAAAATTGGCAACTATTTAGGTCACCCTTCGCCCTAGAAGCAAGGTGCCCCAGGGGAGGCGTCCTATCACAACACTAGCTTCTACATATTTACACGAACATTTACACAGACCAACAACGCTTGTGAACATTATCTTTGCCGGTGACATCACAAATCATATCATATCCGGAAAATGAAGCAATGATGGCACGCCATACGTAGAGCAATAAAAAACATAAATGATTACGAAAGAAATGGAAAATACGGACAAACATCAACAAATTTAAATCATACCACCTGCCAGAAAAAGTCAGACATGACAACTTCGCTAGATGGAGAAATTTGCCCATACACCAACAGAGGCGGCATCCTGGGACTGAAAATCACAATAAAATGGTTGCCAGGCTTCATCCAACGAAAAAAGTCCACAAACTACATGGCAAACTCTCCAAAATAAAAGATTAAAAACCTGAACATACCAAACAAGAAATTCTTGCGCTTTAATAAAATCAATCAATGTGCTGCCCTTGTACCAACCAACTCATTTAGTGCAACGAGAGTCAAAGAAACTTCAAACGGTACAAGAATAAGCTAAGATTCATATGTAACATCGGTTACTGAAGAAAGGTAACGAACGAAGAACTCATAGAAGAGCCAACATCAACGCAGTAAACGTGAACATCTACATCCAAGCCAAAAGAACAGCAAGACAAGTACAGGAAGTTAGACTCGAAAGTGTAGCAAACTGGCTCGATAACGACCAGTAAGACAGGCAAGAGAAGAACACGCTTGGTTCCAATTTAAGCAGAATAAAGTCAATAATCCACCACCAATACCAAAATACATCTAAAAATTATGAAATTTAATACAAAAACAAAAAGAACTGTGTAACCAATAAATACTGTACCTTCAAGTCCAAGCTTCAATCTTTCAATTAAACCAAAAGATAGGACCACCTTCTTGGCAGACAAAAGTAGCAAGTTGGATCCTACACCTCTTCTTCATCTCTTCTTGAAATTAAACTTCCTACTATAAACCAAAAACTGATTCTCTAAAACCTTGAAAAAAATGTTTCATTAAAGATGAGGTGACCAAGGGGACACTATCGTAGCTCAACCTTGTCTTCTGCCTTCCTTCCTCTTATTAAAAGCAAAAGATGCGTTGCTCAGCCAGCTCACAGAACGTGGCTGGGGTGTCACCCTTCCTTGGGAACAGCCAAGCTGCTGCAAAACAAACATATTCAACTACGTGAAAAAGGCTTGAGGCTGGGGAACCCTAATTACACGCAAGATGTAAATTCAAATATAATTATTATAACCTCAAGCATATCTGGTTGTGCCCGGATACTGTAAATATCTTATTTTCCTTCAAATTTTCTCCCTCTTTTTCCTTGATCCTAAACCAGTCCTCTCCTCCCCAAATTGCCACCAAAATGCTTCCCAATCCCTAATCCTCTCCTCCTCAGCATTACAAGCAACCTTGGCCCTCTACCTTATCTACAGACATCAGAGATCAAGTCAAGAGGTCATTCTACAACGCTCTCAAACAGACAGGACTATGTCCTCTCAGCAACGCCATTGTGAGTTTCCTTCTCACTTCCATCCTTAGTGAGATCTACGTTATACATGTGTATGTGGGCTAACAAAGAAAATAGACAAACACAAGAGAATTAGACAGCTCGCCATTAGCCTTCACTTCCATCCTTAGTGCGAGATCTACTACGTTATACGTATGTATGTGAGCCTAACAAAGAGAAAATAGACAAACACAAAGAGAAATTAGACAACTGGCCACATACAATACGCTACAACCTATCGAGGAACCCGCTCGGTGAATCCTGGGATCGAACACAGGCTACTAGACTGCAGTGGTTCTTAAACTGGGGGGCGCGAGCGGTCAGAGAGAAAAGTCTGGTCAAGAACTGAACGCGTCTTGTACACGATTGCTCATCCCTCCCACTCTATAATAACTGAGGTTTGCATCAGGGGGTGGGGGGAGGGGGGGCGTGGGATCTAGGACTTATGCAGGGGGGGCGAGGCAAAACAGTTTAAGAACCACTGTTTAACTAGAGCAACAAATTGATCTGCTAACCACTGCACCATTGAGGCAGTCTAGACTGCAGTCACTTTGGAAAATTAAATCACACATATCAAAAGCAATAAGCCCCTTTGTCCGAGATTTATACTACTTCACCTTCACTGTTTTGAGGATGGAACACATGACATTTAGATACAACATTGATACAGATACTCCAGACCATCGCCTGGACGACCCTCACAGCCCAGACCACCTACGCAGGGAAGACATCAACAGAGGGTGACTCCACGCAGGTGGCTCCAGAGTCTGTCCACATTGCTGTAACCGAACTTGCGACCAATCTATGTCTGCCACAACGATCCACCTTAGATTAACACAGTCACAGTCTAGTGAGTCTAAAACGCAATACAGTAATAAGATTTTTATAAACATGTAATTGTAAAATCAAACTAGTCATTGCCAGCCAAAATAGTCATTGTGCAACGTCATCCTAATTCCTAGGTTAGCTTAGTTAGCAATCAACAGGGAGGACAGAGTCAGTAAAGTTAATACATATAGGAAAAACTCACCTGTGTCATCTTGTCACTCTCCCCTTCCCAGGACAACCTCTCATCATACAGAGGCTCTGCATTGGTGCCTACGTAGATGGGCTCCCACTTACCATATGGGGCATGACGCTGAGCAATGTAAAACACAGACAGGTTAGGCTCGTCTCGTGTTCTTCTCCATTTCTGCAGTTAGATGAAATTGTTCCAAATGTATAGTATACTGCATATGTATTTAGTAAATCCTAACATAAATCACTAATTATAAGGTTATTTAGGATTATTGGCAACTAAGTTTCATCAATGGAACTGGATAATACAGGAACTGTTATATTGATGTTTGCATACGGCAAAGATGTCATAAAAGAGGAAGAAATATCTACTCAAGAATATATATATATATATATATATATATATATATATATATATATATATATATATATATATATATATATATATATATATATATATATATATATATATATATATATATATATATATATATATGCAAATAAATCACTGTAGGTGCGCTTGATCCAGGTATATGCTGATAACCACAAGGAAAGAAGAAGACACGAAGTTCCCAAGCGCTTTCGTGTAATTCTCATCTTCAGGGGTGAGTACAAACTAAGGAGAAGTACATAACAAGGTATACAAGTAGGGTGTGTCATAGGAGGGAAGATCAGCTAAAACTAATGGCCCATCACTTTTTTGGTAGATTTTAGTGTATATAAACAGAAAATAATTTCAGTTTCAATATTTTGCAACCTTTTGCTAGGTAAATTTTAGCGTGAAATTTATCGAAAATCTAACGTACAGCTGCATTAGTGCATTACAATCAAATAGTGAACATTGCTTTCTGACTTCATTCTTTAACAACCCAACTAACAATATTTTTTTCTGTTTCAGATTCTGATGCATTTATAAGTTGATAATATTTGCGATGGCTGCTTGTGTCAGGACGAGGAACCAAAAATCCAGCCATCTCAGTCACTATCTTGGGTCTGGGAGAGAGCTCCTGAAGTCGGAGTTGCCTACATTGAGAGATGCTTTGAGATACGGTGTTTTAATCAGGCAAATCAGTGAAAAGAACCAAAGAACTTACACAAACAAAGACATTGCCAGTGATATGACCAAAGCTGTCTTGGCACAGTACACTCTGGCTAACGCTCAGTTCAAGCCTCCAGTCATAACAAGTCAGAAGAAGATTAGTGAGAGACTGCTAGCCAGTTGGGAAAAGGCAAGAGATATCTCTCTTGGGAGAGGAAAACTTGCAGTTAAGGACAGCTTTGCCAAGCAACTGGACCAGTTATTTGACATAATTACTTGCAAGTGCCCAATTGTTCTCTGTCCTGAGTTTGGATGCGATCGTGACTGTAAATCCGAGGCCCACATCTCCTGTATTTGCAAGCGTGAACTGAAGATTCCTGTGATCGAACTGGCATTTGTCAAAGCACAGAGAGAGAAGACTGGCAGTATAGGGGCTCTCATGATTTCTAGCCAAGATATTCCGGAGTCCAAGAGACAGGAGGCTGCCACAGAGAGACAGAAGAGGAGAAGAGTTGCCGAGGAAAAGAGACTTGAGAAGGCCCAGGGTGAGGTAAAAAAGGCCGATGATTGGAGTCAAGCTGATTCAGAGTTTAATGACTTCCCCATGGCTGATCCGAGTGCTGACCAGGAGAATGGTGACTTTGTCCCTAACCCAGAAAATAATGATCCCAAACCTTCCAGGCATAAGATTCGAAATAGGAAAGATATCCCGAGCATAGCTCTGGCCAGCATGCGACACCACACTGGTCTCAGAGAAACTGCAGAGATAGCAACAGCTGCCTGGATTGACGGTGGTTTGATAACACCTGATGATGTTCACCTGGTGATAGATCATAACAAAGTAAGGAGAGCTCAGGAAAAACTTGTCAGTAACCTAGAAGGAGTTTGATAAGGGGATAAGAGAAAATGGAATCAATTGTTTGTTCTTTGATGGGAGAAGGATGACACTAAAGTGTTCATGAAAGTTGGAGATTCTGACAAGTTGTTCCCTGCCATGGTGAAGGAGGAACACTACTCCTGCTGCAGTGAACCAGGAGGGAAGTATTTGTGGCATTTCACTCCAGAGAAAGATGACATCAGGAAACCAGCTGAGATAGTGGCAGATAACATTGTGAACTGGCTCAGAGAGAGGAACGTAGACCAGACCCTGCAGGCCATTGGAGGGGACAGCACCAACACGAACACAGGGTGGCAAGGGGGGGTCATACAGTGGATAGAGCGGAAGATTGGGAGGAAGCTGGTCTGGATTGTTTGTGACCTCCACACCAACGAGTTGCCACTCAGACATCTGATCCAGGAGTGGGATGGCAAGACTCTTTCAAACAACAGATGGTCTGGTCCTCTTGGAAAGATGCTGGACTCTGCCACTGAGTTAGAAATAAATCCGAGCTTTGAAAAAATCACAGTTGGCCCTCCACTCGTTGAGCTTGCACATACTGTCATTGACGACCTGAGTACTGACCAGTACTATGGTTACATGATTTGCAGTGCCATCAAAACTGGGGTCATGCCTGATAGACTTGCTTACCTGCAGATAGGTCCAGTCTCACATTCTAGGTGGCTCACAATGGCTCTCAGGTTCTGCAGAATTTGGGTCGCTCATCATAAACTGAAAGGGAACCAGCTTCACAACCTGAGACTTATTGTCCAATTCATCGTGAGTGTCTACTTGCCAAATTGGTTCAACACCAAGGTCAAGTCATCGTTCTCCGAAGGTCCGAGGCATGTTCTCTTCCAGCTTGAGCTCCTGAGGAGTCAGCCAAGGAAGGTTGTTCAGATTGTGGAGCAGACTGTGAGGAGATCTTCCTGGTATGCTCATCCCGAGGCAGTTCTGCAGACAATGCTCTGCAGTAAGGATGAGGAGGAGAGAAGAGTGGCAGTCGAAAAGATCTTGGATATGAGACTTATGAGAGGATCTGGGCATGACGAATCAGTTGGTGACGATTCCTTCAGGGTCAGGAAGACTCCTGAAGTCAATCTAGGTCCCAAGACCCTCACTGATCTCATAGATCTGGATAACATCCAAGCTGGCAGTGAGCCCCCTCTTACCTGCAGCCTCACCAATGTTCAAGTCAGAGCTTTCCTGGACAACCCCATGCATGTCCCTGCCTGGCCCTCGCACACCCAGATTATAGAGCGTTGTGTACAACAAGTGAGCGAGGCCAGCAGTCACGTGTACAGCCAGGAGAGGAGGGAAGGCTACATCCGAGCTCAGGTGGTCAGCAGGGAGGTGATGAGTAGAAACAGAAGCAAGAAAGACATGTTCTCTATGGTGTGCAGCAACACCGGGTCGTAGTAGTAAAACCGGTTTTTGTATTTGATGATTTTGTTTTCTTAAGGAAAATTAAATTTAATAAATGTGTCAAGATCATTCGTTTCACTATTCTGGATCATTTTCATCCTAATAAATTAACCTGATACATTTACTTTACTTTAAATAAGCTATTTAGTGGTGTTGGTAAAAGGGTGGGAATACTGAATTTTCATAAGATTTCAAGTTAAAATTTACCTAGCAAAAAATAAAAACTTTTCAAATCTGAAGATATCACATGATTCTGCACATAGAACTACATCATTAATACCATGGGCCGATTTTTCAAACTCAAAAAAAAAAAATTCGCCTCCGTATGACACACCCTAATATACAGTATATATACTAGTACAGCGGCATAGCCAAACAATTGTGCATTTTATGATGAGAGTATTAACTTCGGCACAGATATAGAGTAATACATGATGAATATTTTCAGATATGGAACCACTAGAAACTCAACCTCTGTGGGCGCCATATTGAATTTCAAGATGGCCGCCATTCAGGATAGCTAAACTATGTATTTCTGTTTTTACTGTTGCATATTTCATTCCAATGCATCAATATACATAATCCGGGTTACGAAAATCATTTGTGATAGTTTTCGAAGTTTATCACAATGAAAAAGACAAGTAAAAGCATTACACTGGAAAATTAACATACAAATTTTCCGAACTCCCAAAACTTAAATTTTTTTTCTGAACATTCGGCTATTGAGGCCGAATCTCTGTAGATATTTGGCCTTAACAGCCACCTTCACATGCACAAAGTCCAGTGCATTTAAGTGCAGCTTTTTTGCACCTACACTTGCCACCGCAAGAGATGAGCTTGTGGCATGACTTTGACACTTCAGAGAGTGTGGTCCAGAGTGGTTCCAGCTCATCTCCCGACTTCATCCAATCCCAGTCACATGGTGATGGCAGACTGACAAACGCTATTGCGGCCTGTCCCCAGATATGTCCAGCCTGATAAGCAGCTCTCTTTATGTGCTGCTCTAGAGCTGCTCGTGTTGGTGAGAGAGGCTCCATTGATCTTGATTTTCTTGAAAATAGTTTTTTTCTCAGCACGTTAACGTCACAGCATGGGCTCGTACGGTCATAGAGCACGATGAATCTCTCCGGTGTCGACAGGACACCATCAGGCGGCTCACTTGGGGTGGAAGCCAGACTGAGGAAGGCGGTTGTCACTTCCGGAAATGCATTCCATGTGGCCCAGGCTGTCTTCTTGCTATGACCTGCAAAGGCAGCCGTGTCGCAGCCCGTTATTGCGTGAAACACTGGAAGAGCTCTCGACTTCTCAGGTCCCAGGGCCTTTGGAATCTGATGTGCTGCTATTTAACGTCAATTCTTTCCTGTGCCAAAAGTAAGCCATAGTTCATTTAGTACCTCACTCTGTTCATTCGCTAGAGCAACTGCAAGGATGACAACATCTGTATCGACGGTACGAATGAGTATTCGCCGATGACCACATTCCAAGGCATCAGCTGCATGAACCATCATCCTAGTGTCGGCCTCTTCGTGGTTGCATGGTGCCAAGTTGGCAGTGTCCTTCCGGGGTGGAACAGTGAATACCTGTTTCTAGTCTGTGACAACCAGCTGTTTACTTTCTTTGACAACCAACTGCATAACCTGTCTGACTGGAAACTGAAGAGTTCCTCTTTGTTGTCACTGTTGCAGAGAAAGTTTTGCCAGTTGCTAGGTAGAGGACCAGAGGCAGTGACGCGTCTTCGAATGCCCTTGCCACGGTTGCATCTTACTGTTGCTTTTAGACTCCCAGATTTCAGGTAGCAATCCCATACCAGGTCAAGTCGAGATCGATATTCGAGCTGTGATTCAATATAGGGAATGAATACAGCTGTGCTGTATTCTTGAAATGTCCTACTGCCCCCTGGCTTTAACATTTCCACAACGGCAGGTCCATCGAGTATAATTGAGGTGACATGTGGAGCGTCAGTGATCTTGTCAGCAAGCTGTTCAAGGGGTGTGAGTAAGTCGGTCTTCTTGCTGAAGTGGAGTTTCCCATTACTGGAGAGTGCTGGTGGATAGGCCCGGTTTTCATGCTTGAAGAATTCGTCCAAATCACCCTCTCTTGTTTGACAGGCTATGTAGAGCCTGGAGAAGAGTCCACAGTCGTCTTTTGCGAAGGCTAGTTGCTGCTTACTCCTAGTTGGAGACTTGGATTTCATAGAACTGAATAGTGCTAGCTTGTAGAGCTTAATAGTGTCACCAATAGGCTTAGACTTGTCTTCAAGGCGTTTTCTTACATATGAATGGAATTGTTCTCGTCCAAGCTTGATAACATTTTGCACACTCTTCACGGCTTCTGGACACAAGATTTCATTTGTATGAAGAACCATTATGTCAGCAATTTCTTCCCATTTCTTCCATGACAAGTGTAAGTGCTTTCAAATCCTGAAGAAACTTGTCTTGCGTCGTGTTGGTTTACTCATGATGGTGGAAGTTAGCCTTGGTTTGCTCAGCTTTCTGCGATGATTCAAATTCAGCCAGTTGGCGTATTATGGGTTCATCGAATGCCTCTGAACCCCCTTTTCTTTCTTCCTATAGTATGTATATTATGTATGTTGTATGCATACCATGTATGTACTCTATTTATATACATTACTTCTCTAGTCAGTAGCGTGTGCCAATGACCCTGTTTCATGTCACCACACGCTTAGATAAATGTGCCTGGCGACATCTGGAAGCTGCTAATGTACCACTTACCACATGTCGCCTGAGAGGTCAGAGAGAGGTCAGTTGACCCATATAGGAGTGTAAGGGCTACCCGCGCTTGTAAGCGCACCTTGTATATTTCCGTTAATAAGAACCTACAGAACTCTACAGGTGTTTATGTTCGCTCCTTTAGTTAGAACCAAGTACCCCGAACATCTCCACCTATAGCCTATTATTTCCCTATGCTTCGCAGTATTAAGACGGTCTCACAGGACTAAGACAGTAACGTGGTGAAACCTGAATTTTTTTCCTGGATCCGCCCCTGATTTATAGCGGCTACTCAAATCCAGTATCGAGTGGTTCCATATCTGAAAATGTTCATATACCATTACTCCATCGCTGTGCCAAATTTGGTGCTTTCATCGTTAAATGCACAATTGTTGTGAAAATTGTAGCTATGCCGCTCCACTATTTCAGCCATGTATCACTAAATATGACGAGACGAGGTCAGTCCTCAATGACGACAGTCTGGCCAAGCTCGACCCATTTCCACTCATCATGAAGTAAATTTAATTACATATATTAACAAACAAAAAATAAATATATCAGTAATGTACAAAAATAAAACAAAGACAAACTAAATCTGGTCAAACAAGTGACTCAACCGAGTGACAAAAAAATAATCATAAAAGTAATGACTAAACACTTATTTCAATTAACAAACTACCGCGGACAACGTGGTTATCCAACACACGTAACTCATAAACAAGTAAGATATTTACCGTGGAATTCCGAAATATGACTACCCAAAATCTCACTATATAATACTTGGTGTTCTTAAAAGTCGAGCAAGGTTTACACGTTATACCACTAGAAATATACAATAGGAGAGGAGATACTTATCTTATGACTGCCAGGCAATGTCAGCCTAATACTAAAGTCACCCGGCTCTGAGAGGTAAAACTAAGCGACCAAAGGTGGGCGGAAATGATGTCATAAACAAAAGACGTTCAATTTGCGAATCCACAAATAATTATCGAACACTCACTCATTCATTAGTATTCGAGACTAATATAATAAACATTACTTTGTTTCATTAAACACATCAAAACTAATGTTACTATATTCAAGTATAACATATAATATCTAAATTTTAACTGCTATTAAACTACCTCAAATAAATCAATGCATTACTTTTTAAGCTTCAGTGTCCACATAACGAATCAATCCAAGTTCACATGCTCACCAGTAATCTATTCAGTGGTTCTTATTTCGACACTCTTAACACCATTGTAAACAACCCCAAATGAAAGTTTGACAAGCATCTTATGCGATTACACCTGTCTTAATGCAGTAAAAATTCCTAGCGCCCAATATTCATGTACTAAGCCAAACCTCGGCTTGAGCTTGCCAGCTTTTGCCAGTCGTCTACAGTTTCCCAGAGTTGTAGTTGCAGGTTCAGCCAACATATAAAAGATAAGTGGTGTTGGTGTATCATTGGGTTTTTATGTTGTTACATTTATGAAAAACAGAGGCATGAAGCCAGAAAGTGATGAGAAGGAAATGGAGAGGCCTCGACCCAAACTGAGAGGTTTCACCGGCTAACAGGTTACTTTAATGTCGGGTATTATATTAATGTAACACATACCGGCATTTCTATTCTGTCATCACATTCGATAACCTCAGAATATACAACAAAATAACTTACCTTTGCCTGTGGAACAGTATGGCATATTTTACACAAATACTTGTGGAATGGAATTGCTTTTTTCGACTTAAGCATCTTCAATAGTTCTCTCTTGGTCTCTGGTGGTGACTCTTCAGCCTTCACTTCAAATATTGAGAGAACATATATCCGAGGCTTAGTTGTGCGGGAGGCATCTTTGCGTTTGAGCATCTTGAAGAATTCTGGAAAACAGTTACTTTGAATATATATATATATATATATATATATATATATATATATATATATATATATATATATATATATATATATATATATATATATATATATATATTACGATACAAAGCGAGTTTTTAACCCGCCCCTCCCTTAACAAATTCTTCAACCTGTTTAATAAGGAAAATTACCTTAAAAGTCCAAACTTACTATTTATTTACAAAAGTATAACCAAAGCTGATGACGGAGCTTTATACAAAATATATACAACACAAAAGAAATCAGAAAACTCACAAGTAATATTAAATGAACATTAAATCCTTACTATCACAGTATAATATATATTCACTAAATCTTAAACATCACCATATAAAATATAATAACTCTGGAATATGGAGCAGTAAGAGTACATTAACACTCGATACTTATGGCTTAGGAGACAGAAGACTAGACGTCGACTTCACTGCCTCTACTCAGTAACTGACTCTGGAACCCACCAGATTTTCCACCTCCCGACCAGGACCAATCACAGGGCTCCACATACTATTGTACTAGTAGATCTGCGAATTGTATACCCCAGACTGAGTGATGGCCAGGGCCATCTTGTGACCAGAGTGTTCCCAAAACAAACTGATGAAGTAGTTCATCATAACACTTCCCCCAAAAAAGAAAACCACCAGGCTATAAAAGGTTAGTTAATAAAATCAGATATTACCAATCACCTATCAAAAAACAAAATAACAATTCACATTCAACCAATATAATTATACATGTCGCAATGAACTTCTTGAAAGAGCATCAGCTATGATATTATCCTTCCCCTTTATATGTCTTGTTTCCAAATTAAGAGGATGCAACTCTAGAGACCATGGCAATTGTAAAAGCACAATTTGCATTATATAAATATTCACCCAAATGTATAATACCAAATTATTTACCAAGTTATTCAACTGTGCCTCAGCTGTTGACATAATACATGGATGAGGTTGTAGTTCCTTCCGGGAGTGAGCGAGGTTTGGGCGAGGTCAGCTCATATTAGCAAAACAGCATATCTGGCATGTTTCCTTTCTCACACTCTAGAGGGCAGACGAGGTCAACCAAATCATAACAGACCTGGCCTGCTCCTCGTCTCTCTCTTGATATTGACACAGGAGATAGATCAGACTCATAGCACTTGTTACCCAGTGAACACCTCACTTAAGTGTTCTCCTATATAAGTGCACTAAGACACTTCCCTTAGCAGAGAAGGTACAATATACTCACAACTGAACTTAGTACCTGTGAAACTATATTTTTCAACAATAAAAAAAAACAGCAAAGTGTTTACTTCAGCCCAGCCACTTACTAGTTCCAGAACTAATTGTATATATTTGCGTGTGATATATATCTATAAAAGAACCAACACACTGGTGGCAAGATGTGAGACGGATTGGAGAATCGGTCAGACACTTGGAAACAAACGAAACAAGTGATTCCAATTACTTAAGTGGCACTTTAAGTGAATCAACAACAAACAAGCAAATACAAGAAAATTAAGTGGACAGTGGCTATAAACACTTGCAGAACTTATACATAGAGACACAGTGGTAACAAAAACATTACAGAATATTGCCAACTTAGCAGTCAAACCCTCAGTGACACATCTTACTGGTGTTACCCCGACCGGAGACGAGAGCAGCCGAGCCTACCCAGGTGTGGGCTGAGATTATTACCAGCTAACACTACATCACCGGAGTTTAGTTAGGTTGTCAAAGTGGTTCCAGACAATCAAACAATCTCTTGCTTAAACAATCAAGACTCGTCGGTGTGCAACAGAGGACAGCCCCAGGTCAACGCCCAGGTTGATCGCACCAACACAGGTCATCCCCCAGGCTGATCTCACCAAGACAGAGGATAGCCCCACGTCAGTCCCCAGCTGATCGCCACAAGACCCAGGTCAGCCCCTCAGGTGGATCGCCGTAAGACGTAACGTCATCCCTCCCTGAGAAGGACGTCATCGACTCCTGACGTCATAGCCAGAGGGAAGCATACATAACATAACATAAATGCGAGTGACAGGGGAGGAGGAGGTTCAGGGGAAGGAAAAAGAGAGGATTGAAGTGAATTTTAGAGGGAGAGGAAAGGTGCAGTGGCTAAACACAGCTTGCGTTATTTTGGGTTTTAAGTTAGAGGCAGCAGCAACCTGCCTGGACGCGGCGAGGAGGGGGCAGGACCCTGAGTCAGGTGAGCGCCAGGTCAACGTCAGGTGCGTGTCGGGTTGGGCAATGGTTTCTCAGCACTTGGTCGGCTTGATTGGGTGTGGTGTTTTCTTGTTTGGAGGAAATATCTTTGTCTTCTATCTTGGTAGTCTTGTCAGCTTGAAGTTGATTTTCTTCTTTTCCTCCTCTTCTTGCTCTCTTGGACTGTCCATTCGGTAGTGTTTGGGTCCTGTTCTTAGTCGTCGTCGTGCCCTTGGTGTTCGTAGATGTGAATGAAGTCGGAGGGGGTGATCTTGATGAGGGCATCTGCCCCTGGGGTCTCGTGGTGCTCTTGTTTCTTTTTAACGTGTCTTTTCTTGGGTCTTCTTTTCTTGATTTTTCTTTTCTTCTTGTTTTTTCTTGTCTTGGGCGTGTACAGCAAGGAGGGCCTCTTTGTAACTCAGTTTCTTGTCGAGTCGAGCCTTGGCTATCCTGCATTCCTCCTTCCATTTGGGGCAGGTCCGGTCGGCGGAGGAATGTGGGCCGCCACAGGCAGCGCATTTTTTCACTGTATAAGGGCAGACGGTGTAGCGGTGTCCGGGGTTATCGCACAGGGAGCAGATGTCTTCCTGCGCTTTACACTTGTTGACAGTATGACCGTAGTGCTGGCATTTGTAGCAGCGTTTGGGTCTGCAGTAAGGCTTGACTGGCACAGTTACCCTCTTTGGGTAGGGTTTTGTGGTGTCCGACGAGGACAGTGGTGTCGGACAGCTTCTAGACACATCTGAGTTGTCCCTCAAGTAGTTCGTCCAGCCTGGGCTAATGAAATATAGATGGATCCTCGTGTTTCGAAGCCGGATTTGGTAAAACGTTACTCTGACCACCTATGTGATACGGGTAGTCCCCATTAGAGGTTCACGGTGCCATAAGCTCGTTGAACAGGCATTGTGTGAAATATAACAAAATCTAGGACTGCTTTTAGTATCCTGGTGGTCCAGTGGTTAGCGTTCCCGTGTCACAGTCATGGGCTAATGGGCCGTGGGTTCGAATCCTGGCGGGTTGAGGTGTTGATTGTATGTAGAAGTCTGCGTGCTATTGGGCTAATGAAATATATATATATATATATATATATAGAAGTATGTCTGTGTGTTTGTTTGTTTGTGTGTGTGTCCGCATGAGAATCTCCGAACTACTTTACCGATCTGTAGTGATGATGGATGGTGTTATATGTAGTGAAGATGGATGGTGTTATATGTACAGTAGTGATGACGGATGGTGTTATATGTAGTGAAGATGGATGGTGTTATATGTACAGTAGTGATGACGGATGGTGTTATATGTAGTGATGATGGATAGTGTTATATGTAGTGATGATGGATGATGTTATATGTAGTGATCATGGATGTTGTTATATGTAGTGATGATGGGTGGTGTTATATGTAGTGATGATGGATGGTGTTATATGTAGTGATGATGGATGATATTATATGTAGTGATGATGGATGTTGTTATATGTAGTGATGATGGATGGTGTTATATGTAGTGATGATGGGTGGTGTTATATGTAGTGATGATTAGACAATAAAATATTAACAGTTTAAGGCTAAAAAAATACTTTTGCTGCACCGTTGTAGTGAAACTTACATACACCATTAAAGAACTATTGATGGAAGAAGAAGTTTTGGGGACTGAACAGTGAGACAATGTGGAGCCTCCCAGAGGGTGGCGTCCTACCGTGGCATAGCGAATGTTGATACAGTAATCGACCAGGATCAAGCAGTCCAGTACCCTCAGAATTCCTTAATTCTACCGCTGGAATGCCTCCTCACCACCACTCAAGATTGGAACTCCTATAATGCCCTGAAGAAATCTTGAACCACCAAGGCTCTGCAATGGCACAAGACTGGTGGAAGAACATCATGCCATGTACTGAAGCTACAATTGACAGGAAAAGCTAAAGGAGAGGACGTTTTTATACCAAGGATACCTCTCATCACCACTGACCTGCCATTTGAGTTAAAGCGACTTCAATTCCCGGTTAAAATGAGCTTACCATGACCATCTACAAAAGCCAGGGACAGTCTCTAAAGAAGGTTGGCCTAAACCTGGTGTTTCCTTTGCTTTCTCATGTTGATGCTCCAGAGTGGAATCGTGAAAAATCTGTACATACTTGTTGCTAATGGCAAAACCAAAATGTGGTCTACCAATGCACTACAGTGAGACAATGTGGAGCCTCCCGAAGGTGGCGTCCATACGCGGTTGCAGTGATGCCTGGAGGCGGCATATATATATATATATTGAATTTCGCCAGAAATGATTCTGGCGGGGAGGTGTTATTAGGTGAAGTCTGCGTGCTTTATTGGGCTAAGAAATATATATATATATATATATATATATATATATATATATATATATATATATATATATATATGTATATATATATATATATATGTATATATATATATGTATATATATATTCTCTACTTTTAGTACTTTTTCATACTTTTTAATAACTAATATTTTTTCTCTTCATTTTCATAACTCATTAGAAATATTTTTGCATTACTCCATGAGTGGGCAACGTAGTGAGTTTTATACAGTGGGTGAAGTGATAAATATTCCTATATATGGACCCTCTTCCAAAATTTTTTGGGTATCAAACAGGAAATTAGTGACTCATACTCTGATAGCCAGTCATCTAATAATTCACAGGAACTAGTGGCAACTGATAGTGAGGAAGAATTACCACAAATTAGCCAAATAGAGTTAACACCTACCGACTTTAGCTAACTGAAAATTTCATAGATTCTCAGTTTGAGGATTTACACAGT